CATAAATAGAGATGAAATAGATATTCATTTCTGTGCTTCATATCATTTTTGAAGGATGATGTAATAAAAAAAGTTAAGATAATATAGCTGAGCTGATATCAGACGTTTGTTCATAAAGTCTGGTAATCTTTATTCAAAAAGCAATAAAAATCAACAGGCTCAATCTCCACTAAAGTGAGCAAGTTTAAGTGGTCACCAAGCTCTGGAGTGAAGTTGGCTTCCCCTGTGATTTCAAGAAGCGATTTTCCTGTCCCATTAAGGCCACCAACATTTTCAAAATGGGGTAGAGGGAACTAAAGAAGAATTTGACTCTCGGCTTTATTCACAACTAGCTCATCTATGTATGAGATTTTTCTTGTGCAACCTGGTGCAGGCGAGAGAAGCACCAGAAGTGGCCTCAGATCTCAAAAAAACAGTCATAAAATACACAGAACCGACAAAAGCATTGGGAACAAAAAAAAAAAAAATCCAGATTGCAGAAAGTCCACTCCAGTGTCCAATATTTCCAACATTCCCTTTCTTCTTGTCTGATTCGGGAACCCTTATAGAAATGTACTTTCCCACCAACACAGGCCAATAATTGAAAGGGACTCCTCATCATCCAAAATTCAAAGTGGATTTCACTAGCCTGCTACACTAGCTGTGCACGTATCAGCCTGTTCAGAATCCAAGAGAACATCGGAGCTGCTTCTAGTATATTGGGAACCAACCTGCATACCGCCAAGACAAGGCATCCCTCTGGTGAAAATGGCACAAAAGAACTACAGAATTTGTTGAATATATATATATATATATAATTGTGCTGACACTTTCATGGCTGATCCTGTGTCTGTTTTGGAGATGGGGCTGCTGTGACAACTACAGTGGACACGGCTTTTGTAGAGCCAGAGACGGTTCCCTGCTGGAGATGGGAGGCTGGAACTGTTTGAATCCGCACCTGTGGAGAACAGGAGAATGAGATCAGAAATCTCCCCTACACCGCAGAAAATGTCAGTGCTAGTGGGGAAAACTCTGCTCCACCAAATTTCCTACTGAAAGCTCGCCTTACCCATGCCCCTCAAATCCTCAACCTCCGACCGAAGCACTAAGTGCGCAAACAAATGAATCGCACGCAAAATAACTTCAACCATCGAGACGACGGTGATATTTCAAAGCCAAGCCGTGAAGAGAGCGAACGGGGCTCCTTACCTGGGCAGCCTGGCCTTGTTGCTGCAGCTGCTGCAACTGCTGGGCAGTCAGGAAGCTCACTGGTTTGTTCCCAGCGATCAGTTTCGTTCCAGCTGGCATCGTGGTAAGGATGATGTTTCGCCCCAAGCCGCTAATGCTGCGGGGGAAAAAAAAAAGCCATCCAGAAGTCAGGAGGGGATTGGAAGCAGAAAGGGATCAGCTCTTTTGCACCAGGTTGGGATTTTCCCCTTGGCTATTGCAGCCTCCAGGTTCCCAACAGTTTACAAGAATGTCAGGAAGGATTCAATTTAACACAGTGGTTCTCAACCTTTTTAATGCCGCGACCCCCAACCGGTCATAAGTCGAGGACTAAACCGGTCGTAAGTCGAGGACTTTCCCTGCCCGGGAGCGCCGCACATGCGTGGTTCCGCCCCCTGCGCCGGCCGAGGCGTAGCTGGCAAGCGGCAGAGACGGAGCAGGCCGACCACCAGCTGGCCCAGCCCAAGGGAGGTAAGGCACCCGCCGGAAAAGGGGAAAAAAATGGCGGACAGCCTTGCTTGGCGACCCCCGTGAAATGGTCGATCGA